AAAGAACCGTTATCTATTGGAGGTGATCTGAGCTGCACTGATTGGAGCTCACATGTCAGCAATATATAGGGGAGAAGCTCTCGTATATGCAGTATATACTATCAATAGAACACCGTCCAAGTTTCTTGAGTATAAAACACCTCTTCAATCACTTACAGATGCAGTAATAAGTCCTAGAATTGTTGAACTAACACAAAATTTTTGGTTTTGTTGCTTATGTTCACTTACACAAGCATCAGAGAAGTAAGTGTTTCCTAAAGCTGAAAGGTGTGCGTTCGTTGGCTATGCAGATCACCAAAAAGGATACCGGTGCTACAATCCACAAACCATGCAAATGTTTACTACTATAAATGTAGTTTTTCATAAGATCTTGATATATTTTTCCCCTAAGACTGAAATTCAGGGGGAGAATTGTGATGAAACTCATACTTTTGTTCCTCAAAAAATTGATACAGAGGTCATATTGGAGAAAGGAAGTTACAAAGTTGCATCAGGAGATGATGAAAGTGTGCAACAATGTGATGATCAACAACCACATAATGAGGAAGAATTTGAGCGTATCGAGATCGAAAGTTTGCCTATTGATGCTAATGATATATCATACCAATCGTCCCCTCAAGAACCTAATACACACAAAAAAAAAGAATTCTGTCAGATCGTGTCACTAGAGGTATCCCTAAGCCTACTTATGATCCTCACCTCACTAGTAAGACAAGATACCCTATGAGTAATTATATTTGTAACCAGAATTTATCTAACTCAAATATTGCATTTATAAGTCAATTATCTACTGTATCTATTCCTAATAGTGTGCAAGAAGTTTTAGCTGACTCCAGGTGGATGTTATGAATGAGGATATGAGATCCTTGCAAAGAAATAAAACATGAGAATTGGTAGATTATCCAGTTGGAAAGAAACCAGTAGGATGCCGATGGGTGTATATTGTGAAATTTAATACAGATGGTACAATTGAGAGATTCAAAGCTAGATTAGTGGCAAAGGGGGGTATACACAAGTATATGGAATCGATTACACTGAAACGTTTTCTCCCGTAGCCAAAATTAGCACAGTTTGAGTATTGTTATCTCTAGTTATAAACCTTGATTGATCCTTACAACAATTTGACATAAAAAATGTCTTCTTACACGGGGAATTGTATGAAGAAGTTTATATGGAGCTACCAAAAGGATGTAGGATCCCAGATACACATAGCAAGAAGGTATGCAAGTTGAAGAAGTCATTGTATGGACTAAAGCAATCGCCACGAGCATGGTTTGGTAGATTCATCAAGTCAATGCTTGCTTTTGGATATCAATAGAGCAACCAAGATTATACCTTGTTTCTAAAGAAAAAGGAAGAAAAGATTACAATTCTTATTATCTATGTTGATGACATGATAATTATAGGAGACGATCTAGAGGAAGCAAGACATTGAAAGAGTAATTGACAAAGGAATTTGAGATGAATGATCTTCGTCCTTTGAAGTAATTTCTTGGAATTGAGGTCTCAAGATCAAAGTCAGGTATTTTTCTCTCACAGCGAAAGTATGCATTGGATTTACTGAAAGAAACTGGAATGACAACATGCAAACCAATAAATTCTTCAATTGAAGGGGGATTGAAGTTATGCATTGAAGAAAATCAAAATCCAACTAACAAGGGAAGATATCAGAGACTTGTAGAGAGATTAATGTATCTATCACACACCAGGCCAAATTTAGCCTATGCTCTTAGTGTGGTTAGTCAGTTCATGCACAATCCATGTAAAAAACACATGGATGCTATTATACAGATTTTAAGGTACATAAAAGTCGCTCTTGGAAAATGAGTTATGTTCAAGAAGAACTCCAACTACAAGGATGTGATGGTTTATACTAATGCAGATTGGGCATGTGCTCTTGATGATAGAAGAAATCCCTTTTTAGAATCAGATTAAGAGAAATTAGATTTTCCGACCGGACAAAGTCCATCAGTAATTAGGACACATTTTTAAATATTTATATTTTTATTATTTATTAAATTATTTAATCTAGAACCCCTTTTTAAAAATCAGATACAAAGTTCATCGAACTTAAAATCGGATCGATGAGTTGAACACAATACCTTAGAGTTGAAGGTTGATAATCCAACCACTAGGCTACTAAGATTTTCTAATAATAATTTACAAATAAATTATATTTATATACAAATATATATTATATATATCCGTGTAAATATATAAATATAAAATATATAAATACAAATATATTTATATATTTTGATATATTTATATAGTTATATATTTATATGTTGGATCTGAGGACGCGCTTGACGGTGAAAGTGTGTGTCGTGTTTATTAGAATATATTTAAAATTAAGTAATTATTATATAATTTTAAATATTTAATTTTTTTAATTTAATGTCGATTTTTAAAAATATATTTTGATATGTCGGTAAATGAACAAATAATTATCGATGGATATATCTGTTGGTAACTAATTGTTCATTTAATAAAATTATTAATTTACTGATGAATATATATGTCGGTAATTATTTATTTATTTATTGAGGGATTTACCGATGGATAAATCCGTCGGTAATTATTTGTTTATGTACCGACGAATATATTCATCGGTAATTAATTATTCATTTACCGACATGATTAATCAAAAGATATATCCGTTGGTAAATATTTGTTCATTTATCAATAGATATATTCGTTGGTAGGACCAAATTCCACACTTATTCTAAATCTGGCAATAATTTATGTCGGTAATCTCTTATTTTCTGACGGTTACATATTTATGATAAATATTTGTCGGTAATATAAGATTTATCTTTCCTATACTATATTTATCATTACTATTTTTGTAAATTAGTTTCCTGTTCAAATTTGATTTATTTAAGTTTTAAAATTTATAATTTGAATTTAGTATTTGAGCTGGGGTTAAAAAGGCATTATTTTTATTAATTATGCGAATATATATATATATATATATATATATATATATATATATATATATATATATATAAACAGAGACTTTTAAAAAAAATTCGTCTTGTTGAAATTTATAATAATAATCATAAGATGATATTGGGATGGACCACAGAGAAAATCATTCAAAGCATATCCAAAACTCAAACACATCCGTTAAGTAATTACGTTCTGTATGCAAATTATTATTAAACTTGAACTCATTCCTATAACAATACAAAATGATAAAGTGGACGTTTGAAGTAACTAACATATTTTTCATGCGTAAATGTTGAATGCGGCTAAATGGACCTTACAAATGTTTTCTATTCTGAATTAAGATAAAACTATCATCATAATTTTAGTAAATCTTGGCATCAATTATAGGAAAACCTAGGAGGTCTAACATCTAGGGTTTTGAAACAAACGAAACAACTTGTATTTTTCAATGTTTATAGCAAATGTTGGACCATTTAGCTTTGTATTTTCTAAACTTTTTTATTGCAATTATTTGTTGCATAGTTCTTTTTCTTTGTTTAGTTTTTCAAACACATGAACAAATTTAAATTAAAGGATGCAAAAAATAAATTCATCTCTTTTCCAATTCCAATTCTAAATCTCAATTTAGTTTTAGAGTTATCACTTTAGAAATTTTAAATTTAATTACTACCTTATTTTATTTTAAAGCAATTCTTGATTCTTGCAATTTTAATAAAATATTTTATTTTAATTTTATATATTTTATTTATTTAAATTCTGCATCAATTTAATTTTAATTATTGCATTGTTTTGTTTTAAAGTAATTTTTTATTCCTGCACTTTTAATTAAAAACACTTTATTTTAATTTATAAATTTCATTTATTTAAATTATGCTTCCGTTTAATTTTAATTGTCGTTTGTATTCTATAATAATTTGATTTTAATTTTTATTATTACTGTATCAATTTTTTTTTCACTCTTTCACTCATCCCCTATTTATTATTATTTAATATTTTAAAGAGAATAATATATGATAATGAGAATGTTCTTATAGTTGTGTTCTTGAGATATTTGACTCGAGTTAGCTATATTATTTTAGTTTAATAACTTGTTTATTATTTTGTATCATTATTTTGTGTGACTAAAACGTTGTTATCACCTATCGAACAAGGTAGATTGAAATTTGAAAAGAAGTCAACGAAGGTGGATACGTATCCTTTCAAAGCTCATGTAGGTTATATGTGGAAGTCAAACTTAAACACTACTAATGATGTTAAGAGTCATTGGATAATATGAGAATTTACATGATGGACATTACTGTAGAGGATGTGTCTTTGATAGATTACCATACAATCCTAAATTTTGTACTAAATATCCTAAATTTTTTGAGGAGATCATTGGATGAGGAAGAACATGACAGAACCCTTCTAGAAAAGAGTATGGAAGGTTGGACCTCACTAATTTCGTCACTAATTTGAAAATGATGTATATGAACACTGCCATACATACAGGTTGAACTAGAGAGAGAAAAAGAAAACGAAAGAAAGAAGTATAAATATGATAGAGTGTCACGTTTAATTTGAATAGAGTAATCGCAATGTTAAATTTACAAAAATATTCTCCGAACCTACGTGACATGTACATTAGAAAGAGAGAAGAAAATAAAAGTAAGGGTGAATAAGAAGTAATAATAATATCAATAAAAAAAAACTACGAAAATAATAAATAATTGAGATAGAAAAAAAAGTGTGTTGCTGTTATTTCTATTATCAACTACATTATTTCTTTTATTTTATTTTTTTATTATATACCTACTAATTTATCTGGTCCAGGTTGGTGCAGAAAATTAAGATCAGGACTCGATAGTTGTAAATGGCTTTGGCTGAATTTGTAAGGAGAAAAAAAAAGCTTTAACCTATAAAAAGATTGAATAGATGAATCAGGATAAGGTTTTGGACTCATTGAGAAAGAGAGAGAAACTAATGTTAAGTCTTCATGCAGCATTTCTATGACCACAAAAAAATATAATATGATAAAAATTTAACACGACAGTAGTCGATCTCATATTATGTGGCATGTGTTTTACCTTGTGGTATATGATTCTTACAGGATATTCACTTGTTTATATTATCCTCAAATTATAAACTAACATATATAATAATTAAGTTTGTTAATTTTAATAATAAGTATCCCAGAAGTCTTAATGATTTCTAAGTACCAATTAAGTTGATTAATTACTAACCATGTATTGATGTTTGAGTTTTCATTTCAGGATATGTTTGGTGCAGGAACTGATACCACCCTTGCAGTCCTAGATTGGGCTATGACAGAACTCTTGAGGCACCCCAATGTGATGCAGAAACTACAAGTTGAGGTGAGAAGCATGGCTAGGGATAAGACTCACATAAATGAGGAGGATTTGAGTGGCATGTCTTACTTAAAAGCAGTGATTAAAGAAATTCTTAGATTACATCCTCCATCTCCCATAATGATTCCAAGGGAATCCATGCAAGACACCAAAGTGATGGGCTATGACATTGCAATTGGCACACAAGTACTAGTGATGTGAACATGACCTATAATAAGGGTTAGAGCAAGGAAAATAAAGAAAGTTCTTCAACAAATATTGTTGGTTGACCAAATTATGTTTTGAATTAATCAATTAATGAGCTTTAGTTTGATTTTGTTTTAAGTTGTAATAAGGGCCCAATTGAAAATTTAGTCATCAGTCTTTGGGAGACCAAGGGGTGCATAGCTGATTGACTTTTGGTTGTCACAGTTTCAGATACAATCAGTCATTAAGTAGTTTCAATTCCTAGGTTAATGGATCATTATTAGCCTTTATTTGTTTCCATTAAATAATTTTCAATTCCTAGACTAATGAGTTATTATTAGTATTTATTTTCTTTTATTGAGTCTTTTGTAATTATGATGGCAACGCTTCTATATCAGTTGAACCATTTTTATCAAGAAATAACAAGTGAAATTTTATTCAGAAATATTAGAGTTTATCTTTTTTATCTTAGTGAGAGTGATTCTCCTAAATTCTTGAGTGATTCAAGAACCCTTGGTTGTATCAAAGGACTGTCACATCCTTTGTGTGTTGCCTCCCTTGGGAAGAGTGATTATTTCCTTTCACCTTCTTTTTAATTCCTAAATTTCTTACAAGGTTCTAACCCTAAAGATCCTAAATTACCCCTTGTGATTCATATCAGTTGGTATCAGAGCCCCGGTTTAAGGGTTTAAACATCAAATTGATGGCAGAAGATGAAAATTACAATCAAGAAGTAGGAATTAGTCCATTACAAATGAGAGTATTGATACAATATTTGGAAAGATTAATGCTACGATATAACAATGAGCTTCATGAAAGATTGAACCGGTTGGAGAATAGAAATCCTGAAGACGAAGAAGAAAGGATAAATAGGAGAATGAATTATGAAGTAGCAAGACCAAGTAGGCTTGAAGGAGTCAAGTTTAACATTCCTCCGTTCAAAGGAAAAAGTGATCCAAGGGCATACTTGGAGTGAGAGATGAAAATAGAGCATGTTTTCTCATGCAACAATTATGAGGAGACCCAAAAGGTGAGACTTGCAACAACGAAATTTTCTAACTATGCTCTTGTTTGGTGGAACAAGCTACAAAAGGAGAGAGATAGAAATGAAGAGTCAATGGTTAATACATGGACTGAGATGAAATGGATCATGAGAAAGCGGTATGTGCCGGCTAGTTATGCAAGGGACTTGAAATTTAAACTCCAAAAACTTACTCAAGGCAACAGGGGGTTGAGGAGTATTTCAAAGAAATGGACATGCTCATGATTCAAGCAAAGATTGAAGAAGATGAAGAGGTAACTATGGCCCGATTTATTAGTGGTTTGAATATTGATATATGTGATATTGTTGAGTTGCAGGAGTTTGTTGATATGGAGGATTTACTTCATAAAGCAATTCGAGTGGAGTAACAACTCAAAAGAAAAGAAATGCCTAAGAGTTCTACCAACTTTGGATTTTCAAGTTGGAAGGACAAAGGCAAGAACAATGGGACTGTTACTTCTAGTAGTTCCACACCTATTACTACAAAGACTCATTCAAAATATGAAGAACAACCCTCTAAAAAAAGTAGAGATGTGAAGTGTTTCAAGTGTCAAGGCCTAGGACACTATGCTTATGAGTGCCCTAACACAAAGACCATGGTTCTTAGAGAGGGAAAATATATAAGTGAATCTGAGGTTGAAGAGGGAGAAAAGAGTGAAGACATTGAGGAGGAAGAGATTTCAAAGGGAGATTTATTGATGATTAGGCGATTATTTGATAGTCAATTGAAACCTATGGAAGAAAGCCAAAGAAAAAATATTTTTCACACTAGATATTTAATCAATGACAAGGTGTGCATGATGATCATAGATGGAGGTAGTTGCACCAATGTGGCTAGTGCTAGATTAGTATCAAAGCTAAATTTAGCTACCAAACCACATCCTAGGCCATATAAACTTCAATGGCTTAGTAAGGATGGAGAGGTGCAAGTGAGACAACAAGTTGAAGTGGACATTTTCATTGGAAAATACAATGATAAGGTGCTTTGTGATATTATTCCTATGGAAGTCAATCACTTACTTTTGGGAAGACCATGGTAATTTGATAAAAGAGTTAATCATAACGGGTTCACCAACAAGATCTCTTTCATGCATCAAGACAAGAAGATTGTGCTCAAACCTTTGAGTCCACAAGAAGTGTGTGAGGATAAAAAAAAAATGAGAGAAAAACTTCTTCAAGAAAAGAGAGAGAAAGAAAGCGTTAGTAAAACACTTTAGAGGAAAAAGAGTAATAAAAAGAAGAGTGAAACACTTGAAGTGAGGGAGAATTATTTAGCTATAAAAAGTTAGTATAATGTTAATTTTACATTCAATTTGTCAGACTTATCTCTTTTTTATGTAGATGGCGAATCTGATTTGAGGACAAATCTTTTTCAAGAGGGAGAGAATAATGTGAACATTACCTATGATAAGGACTAGAGCAAGGGAAATAAAGGAAGTTCTTCAACAAATATTGTTGGTTGACCAAATTATGTTTTGAATTAATCAATTAATGGACTTTAGTTTGATTTTGTTTTAAGTTGTAATAAGGGCCCAATTGAAAATTTAGTCATCAGTCTTTGGGAGACCAAGGGGTGCATAGCTGATTGACTTTTGGTTGCCACAATTTCAGATACAATCAACCATTAAGTAGTTTCAATTCCTAGGTTAATGAATCATTATTAGCCTTTATTTGTTTTCATTAAATAGTTTTCAATTCCTAGATTAATGGGTTATTATTAGTATTTATTTTCTTTTATTGAGTCTTTTGTAATTCTGATGACAACGCTTCTATATCAGCTGAACCATTTTTATCAAGAAATAACAAATGAAATTTTATTCAAAAATATTAGAGTTTATCTCTTTTATCTTAGTGAGAGTGATTGTCCTAAATTCTTGAGTGATTCAAGAACCCTTGGCTGTATCAAAGGACTGTCACATCCTTTGTGTGCTGCCTCCCTTGGGAAGAGTAATTCTTTCCTTTCACCTTCTTTTTAATTCTTAAATTTCTTACAAGGTTCTAACCCTAAAGATCCTAAATTATCCCTTATGATTCATGTCAACTGGTCAATGCTTGGGCAATTTCCGCACACCCTTCCTATTGGGATAAACCTCTGGAGTTTCAACCACAAAGATTCTTGAGGAGTTGGATAGATATCAAAGGACATGATTTGGAACTGGTTGTTGGAAAAATTTGGGTCATGTATATATATGATACATAATTTAAATGTGTTAGGGCCATTATTTATTAAGCCAAATAATAAAGTGATCTGACTAAATTAAAGTTTTGGCTAAAGACATATGTCATGAAAATAAAATTGTGTAGAGACCATAGAGCAATTTCTAATTTGATGAGGGGCCAAATTGGAAATACTAAAACTTAAGTAATTAACCTAATTCTGGTTATCTAAAGGGTCATGGTCCCCTTCTGGGAGCACGTAGACAGAACGTAAGTTTCATTCCTGTTCCTTTCTTTCTATCCCCATCAAGAGAGAAAATCAAGAAGGAAATACGAGGTGCTCTTCGAGTGGAAGACCATAAGATCAATACGAGTGCTCTACAAAGACATCATCATTATGGTTAATTCGAGTACGCTTTCGCATTCGGTTTACGAGCATGTTTATCGAGTATGGGATTATGTTTATGTTTGATCGTTAGAATCAAAATCAGGATTATTATTATTATTGTTTTTCCAACAATTGGTATCGAGCAGCCCATATTTGATTCATGTCTGTTTAATTTATAGAACCCTAATTATGAAAATTAGGATTAATTTTGTTTTAAACAATTCAAATTACCCAATTTTATGAACCATAAGTGGAGGATAATCTCTAATTTTTGTGAACCCTAAAATTTAAATTTGGGGGTAACATCCCGATCTGATTCAGTTCTTGATGGAGCAGTGGAGAAAGCTATGGATTCTTCTTCTTCTTCGTTTTTCCCTTTTGTTTCGAGTTTAAGTTTCAAGTTTTACTGAGAAAGAAACAGTGTTTCATATTTCAATTTTTCTTGTATTGGGTTCTCTGTTCTTTTTTGAATCTTTTGTTTTTATTTAATTTTATGAGTTTGGAATTGGGGGTGGTGTTTGTGGAGTTCCCAACACAGAGAATCTTAGGTAAATGATGAATGTTTCCACATGTGTGGTTGTTATTATTTTATTGCCTCTATCCCTTAGGAATTTAAGGAAAATTTGATGTTAAATTAGGGTTAGAGTGATTCTTGTTTAATTCCCTTTTAGGGTTTAGAGCGGTATGCTAAAGAGACTCAGAACTATCTCTGTTTCATCCCTAGTGTGATTTTAGGGAGGTGTTCATCCTTAGTAGAATTCTAATGAGGTAATTCTCTTTTGAATTAGTTTGCAAATATTAAATATTTGGTTTTGTTATATAAATAAAATATTCAATTTTTGGTAGTTTAATATTTTTTGTGAGCAAATTGAGTCAAGAAGTCACCAAAGTGACTTCTCTTGAATTAGGCGAGTTCATGAAAAATATTGAATGTTAGTGTTTGTGTATATTCATGCGAGTATTAGTCGGCCCGAAAGGAAGATTAATATTTGGCCGAATTGCATACACACTTGTAATGATAAACATGTGATAATTATAAGGATTTGCTTTGTCGATGATAAATCAATCCAAAGACTGGTTTGTTGTTGGACGTGCTTTTTTGTCAATGTTTGATTATTACAACAAGATACCTCTAGCGAGTTAATATTACTTGTCCAAAGACTTGATATTGATGGTGCATTGGGTGTCTTGAGATGTGTTAAACCACTATTTGAATATATATTATTTATTTTTTATATAATGTGAGCATAATTAGTTTATTTCTCGTGTTCTAAATTCAGCTACAATTGCTTCGTATCCGCCAATTTAAATTCGATTACGGTTCTCAATGGAACAAATTTTAAGGACTTGGAAAGAGAACATTGATATTGTTCTTGATTGCATGGATATGGATCTTGCGTTAAGGACTGAGCAACCCCCTACTCCTACGGATTCAAGTACCTTTGAATAGAAAAGAGATTATGAGAAGTGGGATCGCTCAAATCGCATGAGTCTAATGATCATTAAGCGCGGCATCCCGGAGGTGTTTAGGGGCACTGTTTCTGAAAACATTACAAGTGCCAAAGAATTTCTTACTGAAATTGAGCAGCGCTTTGCAAAAAGCGATAAGGCGGAGACAAGCACTCTTCTTCAGAACTTGATCTCCATGAAATATCAAGGCAAAAGAAATATCAAGGAGTACATTTTGAGCATGTCTAATATTGTTTTTAAACTCAAGGCACTAAAGCTTGAACTCTCAGAAGACTTGCTCATTCATTTGGTGTTGATTTCTCTTCCTGCAACGTTTAATCAATTTAAGGTATATTACAATTGTCATAAGGATAAATGGTCTCTTAATGAGCTCATTTCACATTGCATACAAGAAGAGAAAAGACTAAAGCAAGACAAGACAGAAAGTGCTCATTTTGCAAGCACCTCCAAGGCTAAGGGCAAAAGAAAGAGATAAGAGGATCTCGAAAAAGAAGGTGCTAAGGGTCCAGAACAAAAGAAACAAACTCAAGAAAACAAATGTTTCTTTTGCAATAAGATTGGACACGTAAAGAAGAAATGTGTTAAATATCATGCTTGGCGTGAAAAGAAAGGGTTGCCTAAACTACCGGAAGCCAATTGATTCTGAAAGATGGATTTATGTTGGAGATGGCAAATCGGTAGAGGTGGAAGCTATAGGGTATTTTAAATTGTTATTAAGTACTGATTTTTATTTGAATTTGAAAGACACTTTTGTTGTGCCGTCATTTAGACGGAATTTGGTTTCAGTTTCTTATTTGGACAAATTAGGTTATTTATGTTCATTTGGAAACAATAAGTTCAGTTTGTCTTTTAATTCAGATATTGTTGAAACTGGTTCACTTTTGATTTATGATAATCAGTATTTACTTGATATTGTGGCCACCTATAATGAAACCCTTAATACAGAATCATGTGATACTAAACATAAAATTGAAAATACTCACTCAAGTGCATTATGGCACAAGTGTTCAGGTCACAATCAAATTGTGACGTTTGAGATTGTGTTACACTCTTAAAGATATGGTAGAGAGTATGATTTGTCATTCCACCTTACTGGAATCACTTTGGGGAGAGACACTAAATACGACAGCTTATATTCTAAACAGAGTACCAACTAAAGCAGCTACCAAAACATCTTATGAGCTTTGGACTGGGCGACAGCCTAGTCTGAAGCATTTCCATGTGTGGGATTGTCCAGCTGAGGCAAGGCCTTATAAGCCAAATGAAAAACAAATTGGACTCCTGAACAGTAAGTAGTTATTTTATTGGTTATGCTGAAAGATCCAAGGGATATAAATTTTATGATCTCACATTAAAGACAACTTTTGAGACGGGAACTGCTACGTTCTTTGAGGATATTGAGTTTGGGGGGAAGAATAAGATTAAGAACTTCATCTTGGAGGAAGAATCGGTAACAATTTCATAACCGATTCAAATAGTTACTTTTGATAAAGTAAGTTCGGAACCTCCACAAGGCATTGTTGATGAACCCCTTACTCAAGATGATTTGGTTGTTCATAAAGAACAAACTCAAGATCCTCAAGAACCTGTGAATCATGAACTAATAACTTTGCAGAGATCTACTAGAGAAAGAAGAAGTGCTATTTCGGATGATTACATGATATTTCTTCAGGAACATGAGGAAAATAATGATATAATGGAAGATGATCCAGTTAACTTCCGTCAAGCTATACAAGGTTCTAACTCTCAAAAGTGGATTGAAGCAATAGGATAAGTATAAGTCCATGCAAGACAATAAGGTTTGGGAACTTGTCCCATTACCAGAAGGTATGAAACTTATTTGGCTTCAAGATGAATATTGTTGATGATTGTATGTATCACAAGTTTAAAGGGAGACAAGTTTAGTCTCAATCAGTGCCCAAAGGGAATTTGGAAATTGAGGAAATGCAAAAGATTCCATATGCATCAGTTGTAGGGAGTTTGATCTATGCCCAAATATGTACGCATCTAGACATAGCATATATAGTTGGGGTTCTAGGCAGATATTTAAGAAATCCAGGAATAGACCATTGAAAAGCAGCAAAAAGGGTCATAAGATATTTAAAGAGAACAAAAAATTATATGCTCACATATAGGAGGTCAAACCAGTTAGAGATCGCTGGGTTTTCTAACTCAGATTTTGTAGGATGTCAAGAATTTGTAACTTGCTATGAGGCATCAAATCATGGAATATGGCTGATAAATTTTGTCACAGGGCTGCAAATTGTGAAAGGCATTGAAAGACCACTTAAGTTATATTGTGACAATAAATCAGCTGTATTGTTAAGGAAAAAGTACAAAGTGGACAGATTTTCATAGAACACTTAAGGACAAACTCCATGATATCAGATCCTCTGACTAAAGGACTTCCGCCCAAGGTCTTTCATGAGCATTTTGCTCACATGGGTGTTTTACAGTTTGAGGAATTTGTGGTTTAGTGGGAGTTAGTCACTTTCATATATTTTATGTTCTATGTTTAATTTCATATATGTATACATTGTTTTTTGGACATATTTGGTTATCTATAGATATACGGTTTTTTCGTTCATTCATTACACTTTGTACATTGTTTTAAAATTTATAATTTGAATTTAGTATTTGAGCTGGGGTTAAAAAGGCATTATTTTTATTAATTATGCGAATATATATATATATATATATATATATATATATATATATATATATATATATATATATATATATATATAAACAGAGACTTTTAAAAAAATTCGTCTTGTTGAAATTTATAATAATAATCATAAGATGATATTGGGATGGACCACAGAGAAAATCATTCAAAGCATATCCAAAACTCAAACACATCCGCTAAGTAATTACGTTCTGTATGCAAATTATTATTAAACTTGAACTCATTCCTATAACAATACAAAATGATAAAGTGGACGTTTGAAGTAACTAACATATTTTTCATGCGTAAATGTTGAATGCGGCTAAATGGACCTTACAAATGTTTTCTATTCTGAATTAAGATAAAACTATCATCATAATTTTAGTAAATCTTGGCATCAATTATAGGAAAACCTAGGAGGTCTAACATCTAGGGTTTTGAAACAAACGAAACAACTTGTATTTTTCAATGTTTATAGCAAATGTTGGACCATTTAGCTTTGTATTTTCTAAACTTTTTTATTGCAATTATTTGTTGCATAGTTCTTTTTCTTTGTTTAGTTTTTCAAACATCAACAAATTTAAACTAAGCAAAAAATAAACTCCCTTGTATTTTGAACCAGAAAATAATATATTATGTACATTGCTTGAGCAATAATTAAGTATTTAAGGAAAAACATTGAATCAAATGGAGAAGACTAGATTCATTTATATAAGCCAGAACACCTTTTTAATGAAAAAAAAATTTAATAGATATTGTTGAATAAAGTATTACTAAGAATAGAAAAACAGAGTTATAGCAAAAATGAATTTTCTAATCCTGGACGTAGTCCCTAAACTTGAAACGGACCTCAAATCGACGAGTGCATGGGTTCTGTCTTTCAAAATAAAAACAATAAACGTACTCCACGTACAAACTTTCGTAATCATCAATTTGTATATATACAGAAAATTAAGTTTTGACGTGACATATCAGGCTACGATACCTAAATTCAACCATTAGAAAGATAGATGTTGCACACTACGCTCGTTTTTTTTAAATCATGACACGTATACATATTTTTCACAAACACACTTTCTTATAAATCATGATGACTTCCAACGTTTATAAATACCTCGTCCTGCATTGCTAATTAATTATACAGCAAAATACAGAAAACACACTTCTCACAATGTCCACCTCTCTGCATGAATACTCTTCAAGCTTGGTTTTGCTCCTAATCTTTACCTTGATCTTCCTCTTTTTACATACTGCCATCAATCTTTTATCTAAACGGAATCATAATTTCAATTCTGCAATGATAAGAAAACCCCCACCTCCATCTCCTCCAAAGCTTCCAATAATAGGAAACCTCCACCAACTTGGCACCCTCCCTCACCGCACTCTCCATTCCTTTGCTCAAAGCTATGGCCCTGTAATGTTACTTCACTTTGGAAAGGTGCCAATTCTTGTGGCCTCAACAGCTGAGGCAGCTCGTGAGGTTATGAAAACCCATGACCTTGTTTTCTCCAATAGACCACATCGTAAGATGTTTGATATAATCTTGTACGGTTCAAAAGATGTGGCATCTGCTCCATATGGCAACTACTGGAGGCAGATAAGGAGTATAAGTGTCTTGCATCTTCTCAGTGCCAAAAAGGTTCAATCCTTTGGTGCATTGAGAGAAGAGGAAATCTCCACAATGATGGAAGAGATCAAGCAGGGCTGCTCTTCTTCGATGTCTGTGAATTTAACTGATTTATTCTCTACTGTCACGAATAACATAGTGTGTAGAGCTGCTCTCGGAAGGAGATACAGTGGAGAAGGAGGGACTAAGCTTCGGGGGCCATTGAATGAGATGATGGAGCTGCTGGGTGCTTCAGCTGTAGGGGACTACGTCCCTTGGCTTGATTGGTTGGGAAGTGTTAATGGAACTTATGGTAGGGCAAAGAGAGTGGCTAAACAGCTTGATGAATTTTTTGATGAAGTTGTTGAGGAGCATGTTAGTAAGAGAGGGCATGATGCGCATGGTGATGATGAAATGAAGAATGATTTGGTGGACAATTTGTTGAGGATCCAAAAAACAGATGCCATGGGGTTTCAGATTGATAGAACAATCATAAAGGCTTTGATCCTGGTACGTAAGATTAGTACGACGTGTTATCCCTCATTAGCTCCTAATATTCTCTAATAGAAAACTACTCTAGTTTCTAGCTTCATAAAAGCTTTACTCATTAATTAATGTCCAACACAATATTAAAAATGATCTCTTTAACTGATATACCATTAGGTTATAAATGATTTGGATTTCATTGATTAATGTCCGTTTCATCAGGTCTTACTTCTTTTTTATAAAATTTAGGTGAATTCACTTCATGATAGAATCTAATGCTTTTCGAGGTTCCATGCAGTACGTTTATACACCAGTTTGCTACATAAAAGTTAGGTCATACATGGCACAAAATGTTAATATACATGTTGAGTTTATTTTCCATGGTGGAATTTCAAAGGTATGAATAGAAAATGAAATTGACAGGATGGGTATTTGTTTCAGGATATGTTTGTAGCAGGTACTGAAACTAGCTCCTCAATCCTAGAGTGGATAATGACAGAACTCTTAAGGCACCCAATTGTGATGCAGAAGCTACAAGGTGAGGTGAGGAATGTGGTCAGTGGTAGAACTCACGTAACTGAGGAAGATTTAAGCAGCATGCATTACTTGAAGGCAGTGATCAAAGAAACTTTTCGATTACATCCCCCAGCTCCCTTGTTGCTTCCAAGGGAATCCATGGAAGATGCCAAAGTGATGGGTTATGACATTGCAAAGGGCACACAAGTAATAGTGAATGCTTGGGCAATTGGAAGAGATGGTTCTTATTGGGAGCAACCTCTGGAGTTCAAACCAGAGAGATTCTTAAATAGTTCAATAGATGTGAGAGGACATGATTTTGAAGTGATACCATTTGGAGCAGGAAGGAGGGGATGTCCAGGAATAACGTTTGCCATGAATGAGATTGAGCTGGTCCTAGCAAACCTTGTTCACCAATTTGATTGGGAAGTGCCTGGTGGAGTAGTGGGGGATCGGACACTGGACATCACTGAAACTGCTGGGTTAACCAATCGTAGAAAATGGCCGCTGATTGCAATTGCATCCCATCCTGCATAAGAAGTGAATGTTAAAAGATAAAAATAATCAGTGACCTTACTCTGTTTCTTTGTACTGTAAAAATAGATTGGGTCTTTATTATCTGTTATAATATATAAATTTGTAATGGAAGATTTTGAGACGTCATATTTAAGCTCTAATTCATGCACCTACATTCAACTCATCCTGTTAAAGATGGTCCTAACAGGCTAATCTATTAATATTTTTTTATATATTTATTTTTATATTTATATAATGAAATATTCACAATTTAATTAATTAATATTTAAATTATAATATTATAATATATTTACATATTTTACCTAATATTTTTAAATATAACTATTTTGATATATAAATAACTTTTAACATTGGATCAATCACCTCACCCTTCTCTTAATTTGGCAGATTGGCAAATTAGGCACGACCCACCAAACAGTCATTTTCCCATCTCTATCTAAAATCAAATAAGTGATTGTTATATTAATCCAAATCAATGTGGTGCAACTTTTAGATTGGATGACAAATTTCACAATCACCTTTTATATTTATTTTATCTTATATATAGTTTCCTATGTAACATTTGTTTTATCTTATATATATTTTCATAGGTAACGGCAAGATGACATAAATAAATATAAATTTAATAAATAAAAATTTTGAACGGTTATTTTTTTATAATTGTTTCCACTATTTTTCAATCTACTTTATTGATGTGTCATTTGTAACTGGTGAATATTAAGGAACTGGATCGTAACTATTTCCACAAATCTCTTGATATACCACAGGAAGATATCCTAGAATGATTTTTTTTTCAATGTCTTATTTCTTTAATACATTATGTCCTTTAGTGTCGAAATATATATGGACCAAGAAATAGAAATGTTTTTGATAGATTGTCATACAACCCTGAATTTTATACTAGATATCCTAAGTTCTCAAAAGAATTCCATCGAGGAGGTCATTAAAAGATTATTGAAGGTTGAACCTATGGATCAAGGAGGACCAAGCCAAGGTGGTTAAGTGTATACAAGCACTTTCTTTAACCAAGGAGAGGGTTTGAGTGCAAATCTTAGACAAGAAAATGTGCATGTAGGGGTGATTTTGATTTGGCCGAATGAGTATGCTAGTGTGTATGAGGAAAGTAAGATAAGACAATATTCAAAGAGAGAATATTACTATGAGCATGATCTCGCAACCTAAAACAATTTAGGTCACTCAAGTTTCATGTGAATCACCCCACAAAAATGCAACATTGATCGATCCGCCAAGTGAGAGATGAGATTTCATCTTAAGCCATTGATGTTAAAAATAGAAATCAAAGGTACCACGATGAATAAGGTGCTTGTTGATGGAGGGGCATCGAATATTACCAAAATCAATGTTGAAAAGATTTGGTAAGAAAGATTATCTGATAAAGGACAATGTTCTAGTGTAAGATTTTAGTGGAAAATCATTGAGTTCAGAAGAAATGATAACTCTCGATGTGATAGTAGGAACTTATACAATGACTACTGTATTTGTAATAGTGAAGTCTCATGTGAATTTCAATGTGTTGTTAGGTAGAGAATAGATACATGGTGTGGGGGCAGTACCTTTGCCGGCTCATCAAAAGCTTTATATGTGGAATCCAGATGGTTGTTTTGAAGAAATTTAAGGGGAACAAACCGACTTCGTAGCTTATGTTTCTCATGTAGACAAACCCTTGAGAAACCTAGTTGTGACTAGGCCATTTACTTTCGAAACAACTGAAGATTTTAACTTGAAGATGCAAAAAACATGGTTTGTGGAAATGCATCCTGACAAAGGTTTTTTGCTGAAGGAGGAGGTCAACCTCAAAGTGGTCGGGGGTAATGATTGAGCCAAGAAATTTTCCTTAACCCTTCTTGTAGGAAATTTTGGATAAGTCATCCTTGCAACAAAATTCTTAAAAACCATTCTCAGAGGAAACTCTAGATATAGCTTGGTAGTGTGAGAATGCATGTCTAGAGGGTTCTGACTAGGAAAACCTTGGTACTTAAACGTGTCCATTAGTGACTCACCTCTCTTTTTTGGATCCTACTTGGTGTACTTGTTCACGGTTTACTGTTGTTGTTCTAGTAAATAAGTGATCTTGAGGACATGAACTTTGAAAGAAAATTAGATGAGCTGACATCTTTGGTACGACAATTGGCCATAAACCAACTTACATTTCAACAACAACAATATGTATGTGGGATATGCACCTCCGAAGATCATCTCACTAATGTATGCCTTGAACTTCAGGAGACACCTAGGGAAATAGTGGTTGGTATATTCCCTGAACAACAACATTACAGGTAGTTAAATTCATATAACAAGAGTACAACTCAAACTTGGCCACATATAATTCTGACTGGAAAGACCATCTAAACATGAAATATGGTCCTATCTTCAATAAACTACCAGAGATTCTTTTCCAGCCAAGCAATCAAGGCATTTACCAACAATAGGATTATCAACCACCCCCACTGAGACAACAGGTGAATCCACACCTTGTGTCAATACAGCAAAGCCTAAGCGGTACTATGCAACAGGGTAACTCTGGGCCTACACTAGAAGATCTGATGAAATAACTCAGACAAATAGATGATAATGCAAAATCCATGGAGCACAAAACAGGAGCAGCTCATGACGACCACCTTTAATGATATGCAAACCCAAATTGGGCAATTGGCCACTACCATTAACACATTACAAAAACAAAATTCGAATGCAGTTCCCTCACAAACAATTATCAGTCCTAATGACAATGTAAGTGCAATTACTCTGAGAAGTGGCCGATAAGTTCAAATAGAGCAGAAGAACCCTGTCACATCTTTGCTTAGTGAGGAAGAGTTATTCTTAACAAACGCATGCTCATTTGAAGGCCGAGAGGATGAAGAGCTGCATCTTGGAGTTGATTTTGACCTTGATCAGTCCTTAGAATATCTGAATTTAAGCCAAGAGGAGTTTTTTGAATGTGAATGTATGGATGAAAGTTGCATCATTTATAAGGATATTAGTGATAGTATTGACTCTTTTGTAGGAGCGCAAACAACTGCTAAAGCAAGTGCACCACACTAGCAACTTGAGGAGTTAGATCTAAAACCACTCTCATCCCATTCAAAGTATTCTTACTTGAAGGATTATGAAAAGCTACCTACCTGTGATCATATCTAGTAATCTCCTCCTCGATCAAGAAGGAATATTGTTGAAGATGTTGAAAGAGCGCAAAAAAGCATTTGGTTGGTCCTTAATTGTCCTCACTAGGATCAACCCTACTATTTGCATGCACAAAATCTTGCTGAAAGATTATTGCAGACATGTAAGACAACCCCAACGAAGGATGAATCCTACCATTCTTGATGCGGTAAAAAAGGAGGTGACCAAGCTATTAAAGGTTGATATCATATGTCCCATCTCAGACCACACTTGGGTATCTACTATCCAAGTTGTTCCAAAAAAGAGTGAGATAATTGATATGCGGAAGGATCACTTTCTCCTTCCATTCATAAATCAAACAATTGAGAGATTGATAGTTTTTTACTGGAGAATCATTCGAGACTTCAACAAGGTGACATTGCCTCTTTTGAGATTATTGTAGAAGAACACTTTGTTTTAGTTGAACTGAGTTTCTACTTAATGACTTCAATACTTGTACCATCTAAGGAGATAGACTTGAGACCCAATCTGTTTTAGTTGATTTTCATTTATATTTGCATAAAATAAATTCTCGACATTGAGGACAATGTTGATTTCAAAAGTGAGGAGTATTTGCATTTCATGCATGACGTTTCATTCATACTTTTTGTTTTAATTGTTATAGATTGATAGGAGATTACTTTGGAAAAGATGACCGACACGATCGGGAGGAAGAGTTCAAAGTTTAAAAGGTTTGATTCACATAGGAAGTCATGGTCGAGATACATTAACATTGGTTTGGATGATTTTCAGGGTGAGCAAAGCACCCAAGTGAGTTTTGAGCTTTATTCCTTCTTGTGTGCGTCACTCATGACATGAGAACCTTCTAGAACTTGATTGATTTATCTGTGTCTGTAGGTATGATTTAAGTCTTTTTTGTCTTAGCTACTTAGCCAAATAGCCTACGCTTACCTCAAATTACCATTTGAACCTACCTTTGAGTCTTAGCCTTTTCTTGGATTTAAACTCGATATTTAAAGTCTTTTCAATCTAAAACTACTCACACCCAAACTTAAAGGGAAGTAAACAGCATGAAATTATCACAAAAATCCAGTTCTACTCACAGCCAACAATTCCAGAAAAAGGAGAAGTGACAAAGTATCAAGAAAAAAGAAAAAAAAATCATTTTATTTGTGTGTAAAAGTAATAAAAGAGCTCTAAAGGTACTCTAACATAAAGGTGACGAAACAGAAAAATGCAACTGGAACAAAGTTTCACGATACATTGATTCATGTTCTTCATTTTCCTGAATTCTTAACCCACTTTCCTAAAATAACCTACCTTGAACCCTAGCCCCAGTACAAGCCAAGTAAAAGTGTTATTGATCTGCTAAGGTATGTGTTCTAATGGTGGGCATTTAAAGATCTTTTAAGGCTATGGTAAATGATGATATCATGATGTGATGATGAGTGAAATTTTCAGCATCAACACTTGAGAGATTAGATTAAACACTTTACCACGAGAGGATGTTCCCTTGAAATGAGTCTGGAACTCTTAAAGAGTACTTGACCATGACAATACTTTGTGAGTTATGATCTTGATCTATTTTTTTATTTTCTCACTTTTGGTTGATGAAGGTTTTCTTAACTATTGTAGTTTTCATGATGTCACTAACGTTTGCGACAGTGTCCATCTTTTATCTTTTACTTAGAAGTGCAAAAGAGCAAAAGTGAGGAATATTTGATATATGTCATTTTACTCTTTATTTTTTTTATCTAAAAACATTTTCTAAGTTAATTATTTTATTCATAAATCATGCATTTAACATGTTTTCATTAAAAACATAAATAATTCAATTTCTCTTAATTTTTTAGATTTTGCATAGTTTTAGCATAATAAATAATATACATACATACATCCACAGTGCATATTTCTTTTTCTTTTATTGTAGAAGAATTAATTTGAGATGGACCAAATTGATATAAATAAATGTCTAAATTGATATCGTCAAGCTTCACTCTTCTTTGAAGCCCAAGTTTGCTTCTACAACCCACTTACAAAATGGTACAAATGGAAATTTTAAATAAAAAAAATTAACTCGTATCGGAATCCAATTTAGTTGAATTAAAGACTAGTAACAATCAAGAATTAAATGCAAATCGGTACTCGGATCACTCAAAATAGGAAAGAAGCAGATTATTTTTCCAATCACTTCTAGAAATTTCTTCTCACAACAATCCAATTTTGCAATTTTTTATTTAGGAAACATTTAATTTTATTGTAATTAATTTTAGGTTTAATTTCTCTCGTTCAATATCCTATAAATAAAGGTCTTATGACATCAATACGATAATAATCTTCTAGCTTCGGAGTGAAAATTTTTATTTAGTCTTGTCTCTATTTTCTTTTTTGTTCTCAGCTTTTAGTTTAACTTTTAATTAAGCGAACTCATCAACTCGCTCATCGCATTTTTATTTATTCTTTTTTATTTAATTTGCAATTTCTATTGAATTTTCTAATTTATATTGTTTCATTTACTTTATTCATTCAGTTCTCATTTTGATTTCTGTTATTTAATTATTTAGAATTTTTATTCTAGTACTACTTAATTTTCATTTTCAATTCATCTCTTTTCCAATTCCAATTCTAATTCTCAATTTAGTTTTACAGTTATCACTTTAGAAATTTTAAATTTAATTATTGCACTATTTTATTTTAAAGCAAATCTTGATTCTTGCAATTTTAATTAAAAATATTTTATTTTAATTTTATATATTTTATTTATTTAAATTCTGCATCAATTTAATTTTAATTATTGCACTGTTTTATTTTAAAGCAATTTTTTATTCCTGCATTTTTAATTAAAAGAACTTTATTTTAATTTATAAATTTCAGTTATTTAAATTATGCTTCCGTTTAATTTTAATTGTCGTTAATATTCTATAATAATTTGATTTTAATTTTTATTATTCTGTATCAATTTATTTCTTTTTCACTCTTTCACTCATCCCCTATTTATTATTATTTAATATTTTAGAAAGAATAATATATGATAATGAGAATGTTCTTATAGTTATGTTCTTGTGAGATTCGATACAAGTTAGCTATATTATTTTAGTTTAATAACTTGTTTATTATTTTGTACAACCAAAATGTTGTTATCATCTATCGAACAAGGTAGATTGAAATTTGAAAAGAAGCATACATATCCTTTCAAAGCTCATGTAGGTTATATGTGGAAGTCAAACTTAAACACTATTGGTGTTAAGAGTCATGTGGATAATATGAGAATTTACATGATGGACATTATTGCAGAAGATGTGTCTTTGATAGATTATCATACAATCCTAAATTTTGTACTAGATATCCTAAATTTTCAGAAAATTTTGAGGAGATCATTGGATGAGGAAGAACATGACAGAACCCTTCTAGAAAAGAGTATGGAAGGTTGGACCTCACTAATTTCCTCACTAATTTGAAAATGATGTATATGAACACTGCCATACATACAGGTTGAACTAGAGAGAGAAAAAAAAAACGAATGAAAGATGTATAAATATAATAGAGTGTCACGTTTAATTTGAATAGAGTAATCGTAATGTTAAATTTTACAAAAATATTCTCCGAACCTACGTGACATGTATATCAGAAAGAGAGAAGAAAATAAAAGTAAGGGTAAGAAGTAATAATATTATCAATAAAAAAGCTACGAAAATAATAAATAATTGAGATAGAAAAAAAAAAGTGTGTTGTTGTTATTTCTATTATCAACTACATTATTTCTTTTATTTTTTTGGATTATATACCTACTAATTTATCTGGTCCAGGTTGGTGCAGAAAATTAAGATCAGGACTTGATAGTTGTAAATGGCTTTGGCTGAATTGGTAAGGAGAAAAAAGCTTTAACCTATAAAAAGATTGAATAGATGAATCAGGATAAGGTTTTGGACTCATTGAGAAAGAGAGAGAAACTAATGGTAAGTCTTCATGATGCAGCATTAATGTATGACCACAAAAAAAATGTAATATGATAAAAATTTAACACGACAGTAATCGATTTCATATTATGTGGCATGTGTTTTTACTGGTATATGATTCTTCCAGGATATTCACTCGTTTATATTATCCTCAAATTATAAACTAACATATATAATAATTAAGTTTGTTAATTTTAATAATAAGTATCCAGAAGTCTTAATTATTTCTAAGTACCAATTAATTAAGTTGATTAATTACTAACCATATATTGATGTTTGAGTTTTCATTTCAGGATATGTTTGGTGCAGGAACTGATACACCCTTACAGATCCTAGAATGGGCTATGACAGAACTCTTGAGACATCCTAATGTGATGCTCAAACTACAAGTTGAGGTCAGAATGCACCAACTATATTATAATAAAAATTTAATTTTTAAAATCAAAATCAAGAAAATGACTTAACTAAATTTACTAAAGAGCATCCGGGATCGTTCCCTTTGTTGACAACATTCACTACAAGAAAAAATATTTTTAGTGATCGAAAAATTCGGTCGCTAATTAGTTAATTATCGAAATGAGTCGTCGCTAAATAATTTGGTCATTTATTCCTTAAATAACTAAATAGCGATAAAAATTAATTAATTGCTAAATTGATAACAAACTTATTCAATACATTTTAGAGGTTTGAATTATTATCAATGACAAGATTCGAACCTAGTATCTTAGAGTTAGAAAGATACTTCAATTACTAAACTATTAAGATTTTTCAATAATAACTTACAAATAAATTATATTTATATACAAATAAATGTATATCGGTATAAATATATAAATATAAAATCTATAAATACAAATATATTTATATATTTAAAAATTAATTTATAAGATGGAAAAAAAGTCTTGATAGCTTGAAATAGAGATGAAATAAAAGAAAAAGACAAGAACCTAATATTTTAATAAAGAATTTATAATATAAACATTAAAATATTAAAGATAATATTATATTTTTCCAAAAGATAATAAATATTTTTAATTCATTATTTATAAATTTAATTAATTAAAAAATATTAATATTATTTGTTCATCATTTAAGAAAAAAATTAAAATACAAATATTAAATATTAAAAATAATATCATATTTTTAAAAACAAATTTTAGAAAAAAGTTTAAAAACATATATAAATTATATTTATATGTACAAAATATTAAAGATATCCACATTTAAAAAATACTAAAAAATACAAAAAAAATATACTTTAAATTGATGAAATATATTAAAAAAAGTTATATTTATTAAAGTATTAAAAATATTTTGTAATATATAAGTTAAAAATATTATCATTAAATTTTTTTAAAATTATTAGTTTTGTAATTTATATACAATGAAAATAAATTATAAATATTATAATATATTGGTATATTAGTATAGTATAGTATATTTGTATTCTAATTTTTAATTAAACTAAAATTACGCTAATAGTGTGTAATAATATACGAGGGGATAATAAATTTAATCCAATTACTTATGTATATTTTTTTTAATTTATTTTTTTTAACTTCTCACATTCTACATTTTCTTTGAAAATTCTATCATTTCTAGTACATTATCATCTTCATCTCCTCCCATATTCTATTTTATCTTTATAATAATTAGTCTTCTTTTATAGGATATTTTATTTTCTATTTTTATTATTTATTTTCTTATAATTTAAAATAATTAATATTATTTTAACATTTATTTTTATGATTTTTACTATAATAAATCAAATAAAATGGTTTGATAATATCAATTAATTAAAAATCATCATATCAAAAGCTTAGATAACTACATTAAAATTATTAATTTTAAAAATATAAAATATATTTTAAAAAAATACTAAAATTATAGATTAAAAAGAAAATAGAATAAACAAATACTCTTTACTTTATATTATATTTAAATGTGTGCACAAATGTTGACCTTCTTAACTATAAAGAAACAGTAGAAAAATATAAGGATAGAATTTAAAGAAATAAATTTTGAAGATAAAGACTATTTTTATATAAATTTATTCTAGTATATCAATTAACAATAATAATACATAAAATTTAAAAACTAAACTAAAAAAAGTAAGTTTAAATTTATAAAAAAATACATTACTAAAAGTATCATATTATATTCAAATTTTCATTATTTTTGTTAATTATAAATTTAAATGTGTTTCATAAATAAAATTATAAATTTAAATGTATTTCCACTTTTGATCCATCATAAATAAAAATAAATAGTCTCTTATAAATGTTGTTCTATTTTAATCCATCATTAAATTTGTTTATATTATTTGAGACAAGCATTTAAATTTTTTTATATTATTCCATCATTAATTTTTTTAAATAATAATAATTTTTTTTTAAAATTTAGTATTTAAAAACTAAAATTATAGTTTCTTTATTTTAAAAAATTAAAATAAATATTTAAAAATAAAATAAACACTAGTATTATCTTAAATTTATTAAAAGTATAATTAAATCTCCAATTTCTTATCCAATTTTAGAAATTTTTTAATAAAAATCCAATATATAAAAAAGTTGAAATTTTAAAAAGGCACAATTTTAACTTATATTAACTGTTTTTTTGAAAAAACTGACAAGAAAAACTGGGCTTTGAAAAAAAAGTTAATAATTTTGAAGTTATTTAAGTTTCCAAATGTGATATATATATTTATTGAGCAAAATTGAAGGTGTGTTGAATATAGATTTAAATATATTTTTAATTTATTTAAATATGGTTATTTTTTAGTATTTATAAAATGGATTAGTTTTAAATTTTTAACTTTTCTAGTAGTCTATTTTTAATCTTTGTTATTAATTTTGTTAAAAATGAAAATATTAATTAGTGTACTTAAAGTAAAAAATATTTCAACTAAAGATAAATATATTTTTATAAATAATTTAATTAAATAATATATTTATTATCTAATGTATATCAATTATATTTTGATATAAATTTTTTATGGTATATCAATTATATGAAAATAACCATGGTTAAACAATTAATAATAATAAAACAATAAATTTAAAAACTAGATTAAAAATAAATTATTATAAAATAAAATTGTAATAATTTGATTGAAATTGTAATTTTTTAATTAATTAAGTTAATGAGGAATTAAAATATGATAATTTGATGGTTTAATTTTTTTAATATAAATTTTTAAAATATAATTTAATTTCAATTGAAATTTTCAATTGAAAAATATATTAAAGAATATTTGTTATTAAACTTTTCATAAACAATGTATTGAATAGTTAATATCACTTCAGTCTTAATTTATTACAATTTAAATTTTTAATAAATTTGATTTATTTTTAGTAATATTTTATTTTAGTAATTTCAAATTAAAGTTAATCTTCATTTTATTAACATGAGACCAAAGTTTATTTTTAAAATATATTTTAAAAAATAAATTACTTTTAAAAAATAAATTGTAAAAAATATACTAAAGCAATTAAAGTATATTTATAAAAAAATAAATTTAAATATAATAAAAAAATAATGTTCATTAGCGACTGATTTCAATTCGGTCGTTATTTTCTCATTAGCGACCGATTTCAATTTGATTACTATTTCAATATGTCATTTGGTTGCTAAATAAGTCGTTAAATAATTTTTTTATTTTAGTATGGAATAGCCACCAATTTAGCGACCGAAATTTTGTGACACAAACTATTGGTCGCTGAATAAAAAAAGGAAACCAAATTATATTTCGATGGCAAAATCGATCGCTAAATCGGTCACTAATTGCGACCGAATTAAATCGATCGCTAATTGTGACCGAACAAATTTGATTGCTAATTTCGGTCGCTAAAAGTATTTTTTCTTGTAGTGATTATCACAAACCATAACCAAAACTATAAACCTAGAATGACTACAGAAACACATTCAAATGGCTAGAGCAGGCACGAAAGCTTACCTCTTGAAGACCTAGAATCAAAACTCGCAGCGAAGGTCACCAACAACAGCGACGACAGCAACGACGGGTTTGCACGACGTACAGAGGCGACAACAGCGGCAGGTGGCGTGATGACAACGGTAAGTGGCGTAACGTACACCGACAACGACGTTCGCAGTAGAGACAGAGAGAATGGGGAGTTCTACTATGGATGAAGTGATGAAATGGAGCGGGGAGGGCAAAGTAAAACAGAAGATACTATGTCAGTTGCCCAAATATATGTCATAAAATACACTTTCTATGTTAGTTAAACTAAAATCGATATAAAAAATGAACTTACTATATCGGTTTGCTCACATACCATATCGGTTACATAATAACCGACATAAAAAATTAATAAAATTATTATAAAAATACCACCATCTAACCTACTATGACGATTGAATTAGAACCGTCATAAAAAGTCGTCATAGAATCATATTTTTCCAGTAATGTTGAGTTTTCATTCTAGGACATGTTTGGTGCAGGAACTGATACCACTCTTGCAGTCCTAGAATGGGCTATGACAAAACTCTTGAGGCACCCCAATGTGATGCAGAAACTACAAGTTGAGGTGAGAAGCATGGCTAGGGACAAGACTCACATAACTGAGGAGGATTTGAGTGGCATGTCTTACTTAAAAGCAGTGATTAAAGAAATTCTTAGATTACATCCTCCATCTCCCATATTGATTCCAAGGGAATCCATGCAAGACACCAAAGTGATGGGCTATGACATTGCAATTGGCACACAAGTACTAGTCAATGCTTGGGCAATTTCCGCACACCCTTCCTATTGGGATAAACCTCTGGAGTTTCAACCACAAAGATTCTTGAGGAGTTGGATAGATATCAAAGGACATGATTTGGAACTGGTTCCATTTGGAGCAGGAAAAAGGGGTTGTCCAGGAATAGTTTTTGCCATGGTTGTGAATGAGTTGGTGCTTGCAAACATTGTGCACCAATTTGATTGGACTGTGCCTGGTGGAGTGGTGGGGGAACAAACACTTTGTATGTCTGAAACTACTGGATTAACTGTTCATAGAAAATTACCCCTTGTGGCTCTTGCATCACCTTATATGTAATAAATTAAGTGAAGTATTACAAATAAAAGTGCAAACATTATTATTTTATAATATAATAAAACATTCATTACACAATTTAATTTATTAATATAATAATTATACAAGGATTTTATAAAAATAAAAATAATTTTGAATTATGATTATATTATTAAATGAAATTGTGGGGAATAGAGATTGTGAACTTATTTTTTGATAAATGTATAAGTGGGTCACGTTGTTTCACTTTTTATAGTAAAATCCCTGTGAATTAATTGATACATATATCAACCATACATAGGCACAAACAGTAGATCTTATCATGATCAAAGTCTTCACAAATGTTCAATCTTAAAATATGTGGCGCTGGTCTTTTGAATTGACAGCAAAATGTCCACAAAATCATTCTGGCCATCACCATTTTCTTTCTAACATGCTCCTCAGCAATATCACCATAAATTTGTTTAGTAACTCTTTCTGCTCTACCAGACACACCATTGAGTAACGAGAAATCAGTACTACACGCTTCCTATATTTATTCATTACTATTCATCTTTCTCGTAAGACCTTTCCTATATTATATTTATCATTACTATTTTTTGTAAATTAGTTTCCTGTTCAAATTTGATTTATTTAAGTTTTAAAAATTATAATTTGAATTTAGTATTTGAGCTGGGGTTAAAAAGGCATTATTTTTATTAATTATCCGAATATATATATATATATATATATATATATATATATATATATATATATATATATATATATATATAAACAGAGACTTTTAAAAAAATTCGTCTTGTTGAAATTTATAATAATAATCATAAGATGATATTGGGATGGACCACAGAGAAAATCATTCAAAGCATATCCAAAACTCAAACACATCCGTTAAGTAATTACGTTCTGTATGCAAATTATTATTAAACTTGAACTCATTCCTATAACAATACAAAATGATAAAGTGGACGTTTGAAGTAACTAACATATTTTTCATGCGTAAATGTTGAATGCGGCTAAATGGACCTTACAAATGTTTTCTATTCTGAATTAAGATAAAACTATCATCATAATTTTAGTAAATCTTGGCATCAATTATAGGAAAACCTAGGAGGTCTAACATCTAGGGTTTTGAAACAAACGAAACAACTTGTATTTTTCAATGTTTATAGCAAATGTTGGACCATTTAGCTTTGTATTTTCTAAACTTTTTTATTGCAATTATTTGTTGCATAGTTCTTTTTCTTTGTTTAGTTTTTCAAACATCAACAAATTTAAACTAAGCAAAAAATAAACTCCCTTGTATTTTGAACCAGAAAATAATATATTATGTACATTGCTTGAGCAATAATTAAGTATTTAAGGAAAAACATTGAATCAAATGGAGAAGACTAGATTCATTTATATAAGCCAGAACACCTTTTTAATGAAAAAAAATTTAATAGATATTGTTGAATAAAGTATTACTAAGAATAGAAAAACAGAGTTATAGCAAAAATGAATTTTCTAATCCTGGACGTAGTCCCTAAACTTGAAACGGACCTCAAATCGACGAGTGCATGGGTTCTGTCTTTCAAAATAAAAACAATAAACGTACTCCACGTACAAACTTTCGTAATCATCAATTTGTATATATACAGAAAATTAAGTTTTGACGTGACATATCAGGCTACGATACCTAAATTCAACCATAAGAAAGATAGATGTTGCACACTACGCTCGTTTTTTTTAAATCATGACACGTATACATATTTTTCACAAACACACTTTCTTATAAATCATGATGACTTCCAACGTTTATAAATACCTCGTCCTGCATTGCTAATAAATTATACAGCAAAATACAGAAAACACACTTCTCACAATGTCCACCTCTCTGCATGAATACTCTTCAAGCTTGGTTTTGCTCCTAATCTTTACCTTGATCTTCCTCTTTTTACATACTGCCATCAATCTTTTATCTAAACGGAATCATAATTTCAATTCTGCAATGATAAGAAAACCCCCACCTCCATCTCCTCCAAAGCTTCCAATAATAGGAAACCTCCACCAACTTGGCACCCTCCCTCACCGCACTCTCCATTCCTTTGCTCAAAGCTATGGCCCTGTAATGTTACTTCACTTTGGAAAGGTGCCAATTCTTGTGGCCTCAACAGCTGAGGCAGCTCGTGAGGTTATGAAAACCCATGACCTTGTTTTCTCCAATAGACCACATCGTAAGATGTTTGATATAATCTTGTACGGTTCAAAAGATGTGGCATCTGCTCCATATGGCAACTACTGGAGGCAGATAAGGAGTATAAGTGTCTTGCATCTTCTCAGTGCCAAAAAGGTTCAATCCTTTGGTGCATTGAGAGAAGAGGAAATCTCCACAATGATGGAAGAGATCAAGCAGGGCTGCTCTTCTTCGATGTCTGTGAATTTAACTGATTTATTCTCTACTGTCACGAATAACATAGTGTGTAGAGCTGCTCTCGGAAGGAGATACAGTGGAGAAGGAGGGACTAAGCTTCGGGGGCCATTGAATGAGATGATGGAGCTGCTGGGTGCTTCAGCTGTAGGGGACTACGTCCCTTGGCTTGATTGGTTGGGAAGTGTTAATGGAACTTATGGTAGGGCAAAGAGAGTGGCTAAACAGCTTGATGAATTTTTTGATGAAGTTGTTGAGGAGCATGTTAGTAAGAGAGGGCATGATGCGCATGGTGATGATGAAATGAAGAATGATTTGGTGGACAATTTGTTGAGGATCCAAAAAACAGATGCCATGGGGTTTCAGATTGATAGAACAATCATAAAGGCTTTGATCCTGGTACGTAAGATTAGTACGACGTGTTATCCCTCATTAGCTCCTAATATTCTCTAATAGAAAACTACTCTAGTTTCTAGCTTCATAAAAGCTTTACTCATTAATTAATGTCCAACACAATATTAAAAATGATCTCTTTAACTGATATACCATTAGGTTATAAATGATTTGGATTTCATTGATTAATGTCCGTTTCATCAGGTCTTACTTCTTTTTTATAAAATTTAGGTGAATTCACTTCATGATAGAATCTAATGCTTTTCGAGGTTCCATGCAGTACGTTTATACACCAGTTTGCTACATAAAAGTTAGGTCATACATGGCACAAAATGTTAATATACATGTTGAGTTTATTTTCCATGGTGGAATTTCAAAGGTATGAATAGAAAATGAAATTGACAGGATGGGTATTTGTTTCAGGATATGTTTGTAGCAGGTACTGAAACTAGCTCCTCAATCCTAGAGTGGATAATGACAGAACTCTTAAGGCACCCAATTGTGATGCAGAAGCTACAAGGTGAGGTGAGGAATGTGGTCAGTGGTAGAACTCACGTAACTGAGGAAGATTTAAGCAGCATGCATTACTTGAAGGCAGTGATCAAAGAAACTTTTCGATTACATCCCCCAGCTCCCTTGTTGCTTCCAAGGGAATCCATGGAAGATGCCAAAGTGATGGGTTATGACATTGCAAAGGGCACACAAGTAATAGTGAATGCTTGGGCAATTGGAAGAGATGGTTCTTATTGGGAGCAACCTCTGGAGTTCAAACCAGAGAGATTCTTAAATAGTTCAATAGATGTGAGAGGACATGATTTTGAAGTGATACCATTTGGAGCAGGAAGGAGGGGATGTCCAGGAATAACGTTTGCCATGAATGAGATTGAGCTGGTCCTAGCAAACCTTGTTCACCAATTTGATTGGGAAGTGCCTGGTGGAGTAGTGGGGGATCGGACACTGGACATCACTGAAACTGCTGGGTTAACCAATCGTAGAAAATGGCCGCTGATTGCAATTGCATCCCATCCTGCATAAGAAGTGAATGTTAAAAGATAAAAATAATCAGTGACCTTACTCTGTTTCTTTGTACTGTAAAAATAGATTGGGTCTTTATTATCTGTTATAATATATAAATTTGTAATGGAAGATTTTGAGACGTCATATTTAAGCTCTAATTCATGCACCTACATTCAACTCATCCTGTTAAAGATGGTCCTAACAGGCTAATCTATTAATATTTTTTTATATATTTATTTTTATATTTATATAATGAAATATTCACAATTTAATTAATTAATATTTAAATTATAATATTATAATATATTTACATATTTTACCTAATATTTTTAAATATAACTATTTTGATATATAAATAACTTTTAACATTGGATCAATCACCTCACCCTTCTCTTAATTTGGCAGATTGGCAAATTAGGCACGATCCACCAAACAGTCATTTTCCCATCTCTATCTAAAATCAAATAAGTGATTGTTATATTAATCCAAATCAATGTGGTGCAACTTTTAGATTGGATGACAAATTTCACAATCACCTTTTATATTTATTTTATCTTATATATAGTTTCCTATGTAACATTTGTTTTATCTTATATATATTTTCATAGGTAACGGCAAGATGACATAAATAAATATAAATTTAATAAATAAAAATTTTGAACGGTTATTTTTTTATAACTGTTTCCACTATTTTTCAATCTACTTTATTGATGTGTCATTTGTAACGGTGAATATTAAGGAACTGGATCGTAACTATTTCCACAAATCTCTTGATATACCACAGGAAGATATCCTAGAATGATTTTTTTTTCAATGTCTTATTTCTTTAATACATTATGTCCTTTAGTGTCGAAATATATATGGACCAAGAAATAGAAATGTTTTTGATAGATTGTCATACAACCCTGAATTTTATACTAGATATCCTAAGTTCTCAAAAGAATTCCATCGAGGAGGTCATTAAAAGATTATTGAAGGTTGAACCTATGGATCAAGGAGGACCAAGCCAAGGTGGTTAAGTGTATACAAGCACTTTCTTTAACCAAGGAGAGGGTTTGAGTGCAAATCTTAGACAAGAAAATGTGCATGTAGGGGTGATTTTGATTTGGCCGAATGAGTATGCTAGTGTGTATGAGGAAAGTAAGATAAGACAATATTCAAAGAGAGAATATTACTATGAGCATGATCTGCAACCTAAAACAAT